GGCCTTCACCTTTCTCCTCTAGGAAAAAAATTACTCACCAATAGAACAGGTTGGTGCTGCCAGAAAGATGGCTATCACTGCTGGGACTCCGCCCAGCCGGAGACTAGATGGCTCCCTACTTCCTCCCCTCCCTGAGCCCTACTCTCTGCCCCCAGGGCAGTAGGGGTGCTTGGGGCAAGCAGCATGCAGGGGGCAGCTTCCAGAGGGGCCTCCCTCTGGAGAGAGTGGGGTGCATGCTGTTCCCAGACAAAGTGAGGGCAATGTGGCTTGAACCTATAACCAGTGGCCAGGGAGAGGTGGCTGGTGACTGAGTGACCGCTCCCCAGCCACCTGGCCAATTTTGGATTGGTCCCATTATTATTTATTTTTTTAAAGAGTTATGGGGTTGGGGAACAGCAGGTGGCATGGTAGTTAGGGCTGACTGCCATTTGAGACCTAGATCTGGCGGCTCCGCGTTCTCACTTTTCCTCTCACTCTCTGTCTCTCTCTCTCTGGTGAGTACATATGCCCTATAGCAAATTAAAATAATAATAATAAAACTAAATAAATAGTTCTTTTTAAATATAGAACTATTTATTTAGTTTTATTTATTTATTCATTCATTTTTTGGGGGGAGGAGAGGTTTTTGCTATAGGGCGTGTGTGCTCCCCAGACAGAGAAAGATAGAGAAAGTGAGAAATCACCCCTCCCCCAGAGGGGGCTGGCCACGCCACAATCCCTTCTCCATTCTCCTCTTGGGATCTTGGGCATGCACGTACATGCGCTTGGCGTGAGTTCAAGCCACAGAGTCTAGGACTTGAACTGAACCATGGTCAACTACATGGGAGTCCAGTGAATAGCCATTATGCCAACTGCTGGTTCCTCTTTTTTTTTTTTTTTTTTTTTTTTTAATTTGACCAGAGAGAGAGAGAGGGAAAATGAGAAAGCAAGCCACCAGATCCAGGATTTGAACCATGGTCAGCCATGCAGGAGTGTCCAGAGTCTTAACCACCACTTCACCTGCATGTCCTCAAATAAATAATTCTTTAATTAAAAAAAAAATTATGGGGCTAGCAGATGATGTAGTACTTACATTGCTGGACTCCCACATGGTCGACACATGATTCGAGTCCTGGACCTGGTGGCTTGAAACTCATGCCAGGTACATGTGGGTGCATGCCCAAGATCCCAGGAGGAGAATAGAGAAGGGATTGCAGCATGGCTGGCCTCCCTGCAGCGGGTGATTTCTCACTTTCTCTCTCATTCTCTCTCTCTCTCACCCCCACCCCAAGCACACACACCCTAAGGCAAAAACCTCTTAAAAAATAATTATTTATTTATTTATTATTGTTTAATTTGCTACAGGGCACACACACTCATGAGATAGAGAGAGAGAGAAAGTGAGAAAGCAAGCCATCAGGCCCGGGACTTGAACTGCAGTCAGCCATGTAGGAATTCAGCACTTCAACCACCATGCCACCTGCCAACTCCAGAGACCCACTATTAGGAGAATATTTTCAGAGCGTATACATAGGGTAGCAGTCTCACCTAAAGGGGGACAAAGATGGCAGAATAAGGACATCAGAAAGGACACAGAAAGCCCCTGATATTCAGTGGCCATCTCTCATTTCAGACCATGACCCAGGAGGCGGAGTTGGGAACCGCAGGAATGGAAGGTGTCAGGTCCCAGCCCCATCCCCGCAGCCATGGCCCCTGTGAACTAACTACCCATTTTCTCTTTGCCCAGTCCCCTGACTCCCTCCCACCTAAGGAATGCCTAGTGGCCTGTAGCCCTTGAGTCTACTGGGGGCAGCTCAGCTGTTTGAAGGGTGTATTTTCTTCTTCCAGACTCTGGATTCTGCACCCCATCACCCTTGTCCCCACCTGCCTGGAGAAGCCCTGAACCTCACTCAGCTGGGTGGGGGTGGGGTGCTCTGCTAACCACTTAAAAGGGCCAGGTATGCATCCCCAGAGAACAGGTGAGGATCCAGAGCCTTTGAACTGGGAGTGGGGCAAGGGTTTCTGCCAGAGATGGAGGTCCTGGGCCAGGGCTTGGGGTACCAGGGACAGGGTAGGAAAACAGCACCCAGAAAGGCCAGCCTCCTCCTCCTCCAGCCTGGCCTTGGCCTCCGCACCCCGTAGTCCAGCCTCCCAAGACCAGAGCTGGCACAGACAGTCAACTGAGTCATGTCTCAGGTGCCCAGCCAGGTGGGCACGGACTTGGACTTGCCCACTGCCAGGCCCCACCCTGAGTGGTCAGTCACCACTCCGCAGGGACAGGCCAGGGGAGCCTTGGGAGAGGACCTGGGCACTGTGGTAATCCAGGCCCTCAGGCTCCAGGTTGGCTGGGGAGGGCCCAGTGTGGGGAGAAGGGCCCAGGGGCAGCTGTCATTTCTCTCGCTGATTGACAGCTTGTGAAGGGAAGACCAGGGAAGCCAATGCTCCAGAAGGCAGTCAGGAAGCTGCCCGGGAAAGATGGCCGTGATCCCTTGGCCTGCTCCCTTGGCCAGCCCCGGACACCAGCGTCTGACTACAGGCTCAAGGAGTGGGCCGGGCTGGTCAGGACCTGCCTCCAGCCTGCCTTCTTCCCCGCCAGGTCGGGAAAATTACTCTCCTGGTACTGCTTTTTATTTTTTGAAGCTAGATCAAAGGTGGGACCCAGCTGGGAGCCCTAGTAAAATCTCAGCAATGTGGAGCCTTGGCGTTTCAGAGGTGAAACCAGGAGGGGTGGGGGAGGCCCCATCCCAGGCCCTGGCTGCAGGGGTCAGGGGCGAGGGAGACCGAGAGTCCAGAGTGGGGGTGGTGGGCGGGGGCCCGGCAGGAAGAACTGGAGACTTAAAGAGCCCAGGCTTGTCTGTGGTCACCTTGGCTGGCCGGCTGCTCTCTCCACACGGGGACCCGCCCTTGCAGGACTCAGTCCCAGGTCCAACCCACTTGGAAACTTCTCCCGGGGCTGGCATTCATATAAGCTGAATGGTACCCTGCTTCTACCTGGCTGTCTCCTCTGTCGCCTGCTCAGTATGTTACTTTCTGGAACTGAGAAACTCAGATAAACTTGCTTCCTCTTGCTGCAAAGAAAAGCACACTCCTACTTTCCGTGCCTGATGTCAGTCTAGGAAATGTAGCTTCCTACTTTTTATTATTTTATTATGTCTATGAGCGAGAGAGACAGAGAGACAACAGCCCCAACTAGATCACAGGTGTTCTCAAGGAAGTATCTGGATGCGAACCCAGAACCTTCCCACATGGATCGGTCTCACAGAGCATTGCATTTTAGCACTGCATCACTGTCCGGCCCCATATTCCTCTTTTTTTTTTTTTCCTTTAGAAAAAAAAAAAAAAAGAATCGTTTTATTTATGTATTCAGGTGGCGTGGTGGTTAATGCACTGGACTCCCTATGGCTGACCACGGTTCGAGTTCCAGACCTGGTGACTTGTTTCTCACTTTTGCTCTCTCTATCTCTGTCTCTGGTCAAATTTTAAATAATTCTTTTTAAGAAAGATTTATTTAACTTTATTTATGTATTTCAGTTTGACCAGCGAGGGAGAGAGTGAAAGAGAGGGAAAATGAGAAAGCAAGCTGCCGGGTCTGGATTCACACCGCAGTCGGCCATGTGGGAGTCCAGTGGCCTTAGCCACACACCCCCTGCCAGCCCTGCTCTCTCTCTTATACTTCCCCATGAAGACTTGAAACTGAAATGCAGTCACATGCCCCGGCACCTTTCTCTCTCTCACTCTTGGCGTCCTCAGCGTCTTGTGTGTGAGCCAGAGTTGCCACTTGGGCCCCTCCTCAGCCTTCTCCTCCCTGACTTGCCGTACCCAGCAGTGCAGTATGGAAGGGGTTAGCAGGGTCCTCCTCCCACCCGGGTTTTCAGGGCACACACTGTAACAGTATGTATTCTAGTACTGAGACGGCGACCCCCAGGGGCCCCACATTTCTTTCCTTGGAGTCCTGAGTTCTGAAGAGGCTTGCCTTCTGACTGGCATGCTGCCAGACAAGTTGTCCATCAGAACTGAGGCATTCCAGCCTCAGTTGTCCTCGTGATAACTGGGACAGCCCCCTGGATGCTCCAAATGACCAGCCATTGCTCCGGATGGGGCTCCTCTCAGATTCTGAGGTCCTTGGCGAGGCAGAGTCGGGATGGACCACAAGCGAGTGTGAGCATGTATGCGTGCGTGTGGGTGTGAACTCAGGTACACGTCGCCTGGGTCTGGGTGTAGAGGGAAGAGGGCTGTCACCGACGCACCATGTGACCATAGCCATCTCCGTCACCTGCTCAAGGCCTGGATTTCCCCTGGCCATAAAATACGGGGTTAATTGTCCCTCCTGGGAAAGCTAGGAGGGTTAATTGGGCCATGGCTCTGAAGTGTCTAGGAAAAGAGGGAGATCCATAACTATAGGGGCTCATTAGAGGGCATTTCATAGCCGTTTTGTGGGACCCATGTTATGATTAACGTGATCACTTTTGTGATCGCCACCATCGCCCACTTCCCGAGTCTCTGGCAGCTGCATCAGGGCCTCGGGAGGAGAAGGTGTGGTCCAGTTCACAGCATGAGGCAGGGCCCGGCTCCCAGCTAATGGCCTCCCTGAGACCCCATCCTGCAGGGTTCCAGGAAACCCTCAGGAGGCTGGTGTGGGGCTGAGGTGTGGCTTGGGAGGAGGGAAGGGAGTTGGGGAGCCAGAAAGGGTTGGAGACCCAGAAAGTATGGGGAGAGAGGAAGAGGGAGGCAGTGGGTACCCAGGGAAATTCCCAGTCCCCCTTTGTCCCTGGGGATGCTTCCAACCTGCTGTGCAAGGTCTGGACTTCTAGAAGCAGACTGGGCAGCCCTAGAGCTGTGGTCATTGGGGGCCAAGAGAGGGTCCTGGCCAGGGAGGAGCGAGCGCAGGGGAGAGGCTGAGGTGGAGAAAGGAGGCTGCTACCAGAAGTGAGAAGAGGAACGGTTTGGAAAAGTGACTTAAAGAGGCAAATGGCTTTTGAAAAGTATATATAATTATTTTATTTATTGTTCATATTTAGTTTGACCAGAGAAAGTGAAAAAGCAAGCTGCCAGGTCCAAGACTTAAACTGCAATCCTCCCCAAAATGGCTCTTTATGGAGTCTCTTTGTAGAGGCTAGAACGCATGCCGTCTCCAGATGAAGCAGTGCACAGACCTAGCAAACAGTAGGCACTCAATACGTGCCTGTTAGACTGCGTTGTCCTGCCGGCCCCCTCCCTGCAGAGTGGACCGCTTGCGGTGGCTTTGGAAATGCGCGGGCGCCCCCTGGTGGTGACTTTCAAAGGCATAAGTGCCTTCTGTTGTGATCGACTCTTCTAGGTGGACCCTGGCCTTTCTTCCTGAGGCTCCACAGACCCCAGTCCACGAGGAATGGGGATAGAAAGAACCAGGGGAGAAGGAAGAACCCTGTGGGGAAGGATGGGTAGAATGTCCTTGCTGGAAGGTTCCATGGCAGTTGGTGGGCAGCCATGGGAGGGGAGCCAGGGGAGTTGAAGAGTCAGGGCCTGGGTCAGGAGTAGTGGCTCTGGGCAGTGTGGGAATTGGGGTGGCTGCGTGTGCACCTGCAGTGCGGACTGGGAGTGGGTAGGGTAGAAGGTAGAAGGCAGATGCGTGTTACAGCCTCTGTCCCCTTTCCATGCTGACAGAAGACAAGAAACCCAGATCACTGTGGTCATAGATGGACTCCGGGCGAGAAACAGCCATGACTCACTCAAACTCGGTGTTCGTCCTATCAGTTCTTTCTCTGGGCCTGTGTATAGGAGCATCAGGGATGGCTTGAAAAGTCTGCAGCTTTGGTTTCTCCACTGGTGGAACACAAAGAGACAGAAAACAGAAAACCAGAGGAGGGGAGAGGGGGAAGGAGCCATCCCTTAGGCATCTTTAGAGGGCTAAGTTGGCTGTAGCTCTTCAAAGATGAACAGTAATAAGCTCGGGGCGGAGGTAGGAGGGAGGACAGAACCAGTCAAGGGCCGGCCTGCTGTCCTAGTTTCTGGACTCAGCACCAGCTGCACCACGCCGTTCACTGGAGGCTACAGAAGGAATCTGAAGCTATTTGAAGACGGAGCCTATGGTTCTACACCCACCCCTCCAGCTTCCTCAGCATCCTGGGGGAGAGACGCTCACACTGGTCCTGATGGTTGTGTGGGGGCATGTGCAGAAGAGGAGGCCAAGGAGCATGTCAGGAAGCAGGAAGATGAAGACGTGGAGTGAGGAAGCTGGGCCTGAAAGAGAAGGAGGTTAAGTCCACTAGAAGTGCTCCAAGGATACAGTCTAGTCAGTCAACAAACATTTACAGTGCACCTACTATAATCCAGTGTGGGTGGGAGGTGCAGTGACCCGCAAGACAAATGTGGGGCTTTCTTTTCTTCTTTTTGCTATAGGCCATGTGCACTCACCACCGAGAGAGATACAGAGAGAGAGAGAGAGAGAAAGGAAAAGTGAGAAATCACCCCCCCCCCAGAGGGGATGGCCATGCGGCAGTCCCTTCTCCAGTCTCATCTCAGGATTTTGGACTTGCACACACACAAGCTCAGCATGATTTTCAAACCACTGGGTCTGGGATTTGAACGATGCAGTTGGCCATACAGGATCTAGCAGCTTAACCTCCATGCCACCTGCTGGCCCCAAACACAGAGCTTTCAGTGGTGAGGAACAAGTAGCTTGGTCACTTAGAAATATGGAAAAAGTGACAACTTAGAGAAGGAAGAGCTGGAAAGCAGTTGGACGAAAGAAAAGAGGTACTTCTGCAAGAGCACCTGCCTCCAGGTGCACCAGGGAAGAGAGGCCACGGCAGACTGATGTTGAGGAAACACAGTCGGAACCACCGTCAGCTCTTGGAAGACTACAGCAGGTAGGGTGGAGAATGGGAGAAACTCAGAAAACGGAGGGACGACGGGGGGTGGGGGTGGACGCTACAGACCTGTCTTTGTTTTATAACTTGGGCAGCCCCATGCAAAGATATCTCTGGGTTAAGGAGTCCTTTTTGACTGTCTGTTGGAACTGCCTGAGCATCTTCTTATTCCTGACCCCAGAGATTATGATTTTCTGAGATAGAACCCAGACTTCAGAGGTTATTAAAAGCTTTCTTGGGCCCAGTAGGTGGCGTGGGGGCTAAGATATTAGACTTCCATATGGTTGACCATGGTTTGAGTCCCAGACCTGGCAGCTTGAAAAATCACACCAGGCACATCTGCGTGCGTGCCTAAAATCCCAGAAGGAGAATGGAGGAGAAGGGATTATGGCATGTCCATCCCCCTGGGGGGTGATTTCTCACTGTCCCTCTTACTGTCTCTCTCTCTCTGTCTTTCTCTGGTGAGAGCACACACCTACGGCAAAAACCTGAAAAAAAGAAAAAAAAAAGAAGAAAAAGAAAAACTCTTTAGTAGCCTTAATATGTGGCCAGGGAGGCAGCAGACATTCGAGGCTGGCCATCTGGCCTCCTCCCTCTCTGTGAAGGACAGAGCTATCTTGAAAACACAGATCTGTCTGAAGAAAGGTTGTGTCAGGGTCTGGGGGGCTGTGAATGAGGCTCAAAGACTCCAATGGTGGCCAGCATATGGTATGGTGGTTAAGGTACTAGATCCCATGTGGCTGACTCCATGGTTCAAGTCCAGACCTGGCAGCTTGAAAATCTTGAAAATCATGCCAGGCACGTGTGCATAACATGTCCAAAATCCCCAGAAGAGAACGGAGAAGGGATTGTGGTGTGGCCATCCCCTGGGGGATGATTTCTCATTTTCCCTCCCACTCTTCCCACTCTGTCTCTCTTTGGTAAGCATATGTACCCTACAGCAAAAAACAAAAACAAAACAAAACAAAACAAAAAAACCTGCTCCAATGGTCTTGACAAAAGCATAAGGGGTCTCTTTTCCTAAGAAAGTGCCCCCGTCCAGGATCAGCAGGTGGCGTAATGGCTATGTCCCTGGACTCCCATGTAGCCAACCGTGGTTTGAGTCCCAGACCCAGTGGCTTAAACTCACACGGGGCATGTGTGCATGCCCAAGATCCTGAGAGGAGAATGGAGGAGAAGGGATTGTAGCATGGCCATCCTCCCGGGG